ACCATTTGCCCCAATTACCACTATTCAATATATTAAAGCAAAAGCTCTTGAACGATCATCAACATCAAAATTCTTTATCTGAACGTGAAGATTAAGAACATTAAGAATAGCTCAATCTTGAAGACTGATCGAAAATTTTGGATAACAGTTTGGAAATATTGGACCAGTTGCGAGATTAGACTCGAGAATGAAAAGTAATGAATTTTGAAACCTTAAGAGTCTTTTGTCTCTTAGGGTTAAAATATCAGGAATGTCTAGAACAAGTCTTAACAAAGGTTTGACTGTAATTTGAACAAGTCAAACATGAAGATATTTAAGCTCCTGTTTGGCCCCCATTATTTGGCATTTTTGATAGTTGAAAATTTTTGGAATAGTGATTGATGGGAGAATGCGTGGTAGAAAAATAATGAAAAGTTTTAGATTTGTGTGTAATAATATTATTTTATTTGATAAATGTGTGGTTGTAATGAAAAGAGAGAAAAATTTAATGTAATATAATTTAATTTAATGGGGGCTAAATAGAGGCTAAATTTCTTCTGTGAGCTTGTATAGCTTCTTTTGAAAAAAGATTAATTGAAACAGTATGATTTTTTATTGGAATAGTTTGCTCCAAAGCTTTGATAACATAGTTTTGAGTAAAATCAAATTTTTCTATCTCATAAATAGAACTCTTATATGCCTTTAGGATATTCCAATTTTGAAGTATTTGCTCTATTTGAGCGATTTGACAATTCGTTTGAAGTAAAATCATTTGATGTAGATGCCCTGATCTTGATCTAATTCTTCATTATTATCTTGAAAATAATTTGAAATGTTATCATCACTAGTGTTTAAACCACTTCCTTTACTAAACCAATTTGACACAATAGACATAATTGAATAAGTAATAAGAAAACAGTAATCTTACTATTGATAACAGAATGCTACAGGCAAATTGATGCAGTGCAAAGCCTACGATGAGACCACCTAAACGCTTATTCAAACAACATGGCTGACCAACATACATACATACATATCATTTGCGCCCTATTCAATTCCACCCTTCTTTTTAATGATGTATCATCATTTTCTACCCACATTGACATTCTTATAAAACATACTACCCCAATTAAAAAATATGCCCACCACAACTATTTCATGAACCCATTCCAATATTATCTTCTTCTTCGAGAAGCTCAATCGACCCCACACCTCCATCCTAAACAATTCAACAGAAAGCACAAATTCTGGAAAAATTTTTAAAAACTTTTTTTCAACGACTTGGCTATTTACTGCTCTTGAAACTTTAATTAAGTGGGTGCTGCAGTTTTTAAAATTTTGCCAATTCTCTTATTGTTTGTTTGACTGGATGTCAGTACAAAGAAGTATAAACTCCTTTTTGAAACTTGTCCAAACCAAATTTTCGTTTTTTAGAACATTGGTGGCGGAGAAGGGTTAAATTGAAATTTATGTACATCTGATCACTTATGTTTCAATAATTAAGGGGTTCTATGATGTAGGGAGGTTGGAAGATGCATGTCTACTTTGTGATGAGAAAGGAAAGACTGGATGTGAATTTTGAATTTTCACTGCGTAAAGATTGTTTGTAAATTAGGGTTTTATATGTAAGATTGTGGTGCACATTGCTATCAAAGAGAAGGAAAAATGATTTTTTTTTTTCAATAATGATGGTTATTTATGTCATTTTACTTTTCACTATTTTAGTAAATATAAAAAGTGTGGTGTGATAAACAAAAATCGTGGTGCGAATATCTTAATAAAATTGACGGACCATAAAGGTCTGTTACCAAGCATGAACAAGCTAGTAGCCCGATGGCCGCAAGGTGTCGTGGACCGATCAAGGCTAATACTTTCATGCCTAAATGAGCAACCGATTGTGCATTAATTATGCAAAAGAAAAGATTACCTTTCAACACAACGAAACTAAATGGTTCAAATGTAGAGAACAAATAAAAAAAATCATCTTCCATTCTCAATATTTACAAGGTACCTATAGAATTAATCCAAGCAAAACTCAGTGTCCAAATCCAGTAAGCTGTGAGCAAATGTACTCCAGAAAAAATCTGCTGGTTTTAGTATGTTTCTTACATTGTCAGGTTTCTGCCAGCAAATAAATTTGTTCATGGGGTTTTCACTAGCTGGAATCGTCTTGTACTATTTTACAGTTAGGTAAAGAGTTAAAAATATATATAACAAAAAAAATATATATATCTATATATAAAAAAAAAGTGAATGTCCAATTAGAACAAGCCCATCCGACTTCAACGGATCAGGAAGCACTGGCCCGTTATCCTTCCACTGCAAAGAATGAGAGGTTATCGCTGCTCTGTGAAACCAGCCTGACGCAGTCCCCTCTACTCTAAGGGCCAAGCAGCCCACGCTTTCGCATGGACTACGTAGTCCAATTCTCTGCTTGGAACAGGCAGGCCAACAATTTGCAAGCCTGAATCCAGTCAGTTGAGCTTGAACAATGTCCAAACACCATAATGCCCCCACTAGGGTTACAAGCTTGAGTTACTAAGCTCGGCGAATCGTTATCAATATGTTCTGATTAATAAAGTGGTTAACTCTTTCTTTTTGTTTCGATGTGGGATACTGATTAGAAAGGATTGTAAACTTTGTGTTAGATTCTCTAACTTAAACTACAGCAAATGTGTCGAGCCCCGTTAAACCTCTTCCCCCACTAGAAGTATCCATTTTAGACCATAAATCAAGAAAGTGAAAATTTTAAGGATCTTCCATTCTCTCTGTATCACAGCTGTTTTGAAATGCAAAATGAGAAAGACAAAACATATTCTTTGGTGTATCCTCCTATATAGAGAACTGGAAAGCCAAAAAGGAAAAGGAAAAATTTGATATTTCTAGAAGTTGAGGTTGTTGAATCTTAAGCTTCCATAGGCATATGCATTGAGTAGATCATTTTGTGGAGACCAGAAGTCTGCTTTGAGGCCAGCTCTCCTTACTGCTTTTAGTATTTTGTTTCTATGTGCATAACCTGTCACCATTACTTTCTGATTATTGCCATCCACTTCTACTTTTTCTGTCCCTGCAACAAAAATGGAGAGAATCAGCATCCTAAGTATCTATATATATATAAATGTGCGAGTGCGCGTGTACCTTTCAATTTTGACAGGCACTTCCTCAATCTTCTCTCGTGTAAGCCAATCATCTCCACCTTCTGTTCGATCGTCTGCGAACATGAGTAAGAATGCAAGTAGAAATGACTGATAAGGCAGGAAAAAGGGCTATACCTCCATGAAGGAATGATGATCTTGATGACGCAGTAAATGTAAAAAAGCCAAATAGAGGCTAGAATTTAGAATGATGGAAATGAGAGAGGAATAATGGATGGAACAGATTGGAATTTACAAGGTTATATATATATAAGAAAAGGTGGATGAGTAAACGATAGAGTGAATCTTGATTATTGGTTCTGCTGCTAAATTAAAGGGGAACAAGACACATTTGGAAGCAAGTTTTAGAAAATCGAAAAGCCTTTAGTTATATCGAGATTGAGGATTGGGGGATTCAACAACTTTAAGGTTCCCATCTGCCCAAATCAATCTCTGTCTCAAATGACTGGCTTTGACGGGTCAAATTTAGACACTTTAATTTTATCCATTTTCTCGTAGTTATAGCAAAGAAAGTTACAAAATAAGTTCGGTATTTTTTTTATGGGTTTGTTGCTTGCTTAGCCACTGAGGTATAGATTCAATTTCATTTATTCTCTGTTTCTCTCCCTTTTGATATGCTTGATCATGTGCCAATTTGATTAGCAAAGCACTCCTAACTCCTGTCATTAACATATACACCAACATTTGGCTTATGTTCTTCATGTAGCATTTTGATCGAATGACTATACGAAATTACGTCGATACTTTCACTAAGCAAATGTTGGATATTTGGTTTGAACATGTTGCCCCACCCCCTTAGAGTCTTGGTGAGAGGGACATAGCGCTACTGGATCACCACAACTATTCAATGATTTTTTGACCTTTTAGTGAGACGGCAGTTAAATTTAAGATTAGAAAAGGTTGAAATCTTGTTCATTACATATGCATCTTCATCAAGTATAGCGAACTAAACACGTTTTATGTTTTGCAAAAATGTTTTGTCATAGGTGAAAACAATATAAATGATAAATTTGCAAAATACTAACAAATTGTATAGTGATTTGGATATGAAAACAGTTTTATTTAATTCCTCTATTTGTCTATGGGTTCTATATACAACATATTGAGCATTCGACTCGACCCTTGTATTCTTTTTTCCTTGGATCAAGTTGCTTTATTTAGCATATTCTTAGTGTACAAGTTTGACAAAACCTTTAGTACTTTCACTTACCTAGGATCAAGTTGTTTTGTTCCACGTATAGCAAGCATATCAAATCTCATACCTCAAATGAGAATTTAGTCGAGCAGTCTTCTCCTCTTCAATTTCTCAAATACTAGTTTTTACAATTCGATCATTGATAATCTTTAGCCCCTATATGGGCTCCATTAAAATGAAATTTTTAAAGGAAAACATGTTTTGAAATAGTGATTTTTTGGGGGATGTGTAGTAAAAAAAATAAGAAAAAATTTTAAATTTACGTATAATATTATTTTATAAGAGAATATGTAATTGAAAATAATTTTTTTTAAAATATATATTTTTGAAAAAATGGAGTCCAAACATGAGCTTAATCTCATTCTAATTAAAACTCTAGATTTAGTGCTTGTTTGGTCCCCATTATTTTCAAAATACATTTTTCTATCTTATTCTTAACCACGCATTCTCTAATAAAATATTATTATATGTAAATCCAAAACTTTTTCTTATTTTTTAACAATACATTTTTCATCATAATATTATTCCAAAATGCATTTAGGGTAAAAAAAAGAAAAAAATGGGGCTCAAACAGATTCTTAGCCCTTTTTTGATCTCTATTTTCCCAAAACTCATTTTTTTTTTCAAAATTCATTATCGGCCATATATTTATACAATAAAATATTCTGCACGTAAACTCAAAATCTTTTCCTATTTTTTAACCACACATTCTTAAAAAAAATTCAAGATTTCAATATCTATTAACCCAAAAAAGGGCCAAAACAAGATCTTAACCATACATTCACACAATAAATCACATGTATAAATTTATCACTTGTATATAGTTTGAGGATGAGATTGCCTCTTCTATATAGTTTGAGTACAAATTTATCACTTGTATAAAGTTAGAGGATGTAATTTACTCATGAGAATATACGAAGGACCTCATTATCATCGGGAATTACTTGGAGGGCCTAATTGTCGCCATTGAATAGTTAGAGAGTGGAATTGCATCTTGATGCTAATTATGGGACTGAAATGACTCGTGAAGACTGATTGAGAATGAAACTGTCCACATGGAATAGTTGTGGATGGAATTGCTACTTCTATATAGTTGGAGGATCAATTTGTTGCCTAATAATAGTTGGAGGATGTGATTGCCTCTTTTTTATAGGTTGAATACCAATTTGCTTCTTTTGAGTAGTTGGATGACCTAATTATAATTTCAGAATAGTTGGAGTATTGAATTTAATCTTGATGTTAGTTAAATGATCGAAGTTAATCTTGATGTTATTTAAAGGATTATATTTCGGATGATGTTGTATCATTTAATTGTATGAATTAATCTACTCAAGCAGGAAACCCAGACAATGGAAAAAAATAGACAGATGTAACGATATGTGATTTGTCTGTTTTTTTTTTAAAATTTTCCATCTCCCAATGAATTGCTGCCAAGTGTGTTTGTTTGCAAATTTTTGTCAATTTTCCCTGTTTGTCTAGCATTGCTCTAATTGTATTATGTAATCAGTTTGATGGTTGATTAATTTTATAGATATTAGGATAACGTTGAACCTTATTTTTGAAGTTTCGATATTTAATTCTAGACTTTGACATAAAAGCACGTGTTTGATTTTGAATGATTGTTGGAAACTTGATGCTTTCCAATTAATTAACTACTAATTGAATTGCCTTCTAATTTCTATTGATATTTGAGAGAAGGAATAGGAATAGGAATATTAATAGGAATAGGAATTTGACACACTGTAACAATCATTATAAAATTTGATACATGATAGAGATATATTGTTATGTTTTACATGATCTTATGAATTTTCTTTTGTTTTAATGCTTTTTTGCATGTCTGTATCTTTTATAGAGATATAGGAGGTCACATGTGAAGATATGTTTAGTTCTAATTGAGAGATATTATTAAACCCTTATTTGATCCCCATTATTTTTAAAATACATTTTTCTCTTTTATTTTCAACTATACATTCTTTAATAAATATTATACGCAAATTCAAAAAAAATCTCATTTTTTAACCACACATTTTTCATCAAAATACTATTCCAAAATACATTTTGGACAGTAAAATGGGGTTCATACAAATGAATTAGCAACATTGATTTTCATATCCAAATATGGGTCTAAATCGTGGATTGATATTATAATGGTTGATTGCCGATTTTGTAGCGGTTGACTTTTCATCCAACTACAATACAATCCTATAATGGCCATTATTGAACGAGCTCAAGGCTGCAACCTCGATATATCATTATTTCATGAAACTCCTCTCACCAGTAGGAGTTCTCCATGGGGACAAAGTTGAAGCAAGGTCCTACTCTTGATGTTGTAGCTGCTTATGATCTTTGGATATTACATGCATATTTTGTTTTGCCAAGTTCAAATAATGAAATTAATGTGTTGGAGGCATCCCATCTTTTCACCAACCTTATTGAAGGTATAGTTCATCAGGCGAAGATCAAGCTAGCATTTTTGAGGATGAATCTTGGATATGTGATTAGGGTCATTAGCTCAAGGGACAAGGCAGATGGCCTTCTTCGGCAGATTTTCCTTTATTTTTATATAAATTAGTTGCTTTTCTTATTTTTTTAATATGAAAACTTGCTGGTTATATGTTATTAGTTTAGGGACTAGAGTGTAACAACCATTAGAGATTTTATGACGTCTTGCATTGAGTTAATTATGCCCAAAATCTATGATACCAATTGTTTGGAATTCAATGATCACATATCCCTCGATACCAATTGATATGAAACCAACCACTAGATTGAAATGTTGAAATTATATGACATAATAATGAAGTATTTGATCATAAGTAAAAGAATAAAAGAAGACAAGAAAATATAGCAGAGGAATTAGGAGATTTTATTGCACCACAAATAATGAAGATGGAGAAGTATTATAGTGATCCTAAAAGCTAGTAATTACTTTTCTCACTCTATTCTCACATCATAAAATTGTAAAGAAAAGCCAAGTGTATATAGGCAATTATGTAGGGCGACGTCCAAACCCGCCTGGCGCTCGAACGACAGACTTATCGTTCGAGCGTCGACGGGCGACAGGCGAGCGACTAAGTCTCGAGAGAAAACTTGCAGGTGTTGCTCAAACGGTAGGCTAGCAAAAATGCAACGACTTTTCTTCTCGGTCCATAATTTCAACATCTTCATGTCCAATACAAATTCCAACTCCCAATAGGGCTGTCAAATAAAATTTTAACTTAAAACTCCAAGAGCATTCCAAATTGAATTTCTCTTGACGTGCACTTCAATTAGAATTATTTAATTACTTCAACAAGGAATTTGGGTCACGCCCAAATTCTAACAATCTCCACCTTGACACGAATTCCACTACAACGAATAAAACTCCAAAATTTTCTTCACTGGAGAAGAAAATCCGTCTACAAGGAATGAACTGACTGTTCAACAACAATAAAACTAATTTCTCCAACCAAACACAAAATACTCCACATTTTTCAATGAATCCAAGCACTATTTTGCAGAATTATCTCAAATTCCCAAAAAATCATAATGATTTTAAAATTCACCAAATTGGACTGTAACACACCCTAAAGTAGAATTAAACTTAAATGCTTTTAAAGAAGGTCATTGCTCGATTGTACACCTTCTATTACGTTGAAAGCATGCTCAACAAAATCAGTATCCACATACCTTTTTCCACTAGGTCCTTCCCTAGCAATAGAATATAATGGCACCTTTTTCGAGGAGATTGTCGTACTGACCCATAATTTAGTTCTTTGAGGATACTACAGTAAGAAGAAGTAAATTTTGTTGTTTAAATACAAATGCTTTATTTGTATGCTAAATAAATCTTAAAATATAAGATGCACTGAGATGGGTAGATTTACTGAAGAAAGGTGTTCCAATATATGTTTTATAGGAATCAAGTTGTTTTGTGGAGTGCAAGAAGTGGTAGTTGAGTTAATCAATACATAATCCTTTGAAACGATGGTCTGCAGAAGCATTTCAGTACATGACTGCACCCTATAAAAGAACGTAAAGAAATTTTTGTATTAAGTATAAGAATCCTATAACAACATAATTAATTTAGAATTGATATGTAATAGGATGGCAAGTATATTTACTGATGAAAATAAAATGTCATACCATTCAGTAAAATGGCATAGTTTTTGGAATGTTGGATTTATAATCAGCGATGAACCTGTCTTTGTCGATAAAGAGATGCCTACAATATTTAAAAAATATATATATACAGCGAGATATTTTCGAAAAATATGGATGACGGGATTAAAGAAACAGCATGAGTAGATATGAGTTTTTTTACACTGCCGTTATAGGTCGTAACCTTCAAGTGGTTTCCGATGAGAACTGTTCTTTTCATCAGAAGATCAGCTAGCTGTGAGCCCTCATTTTCGGCTCGGATGTCCCATAATGTTAGTATAATTGCTTGTAGACTGCAGTAGAATGCCAACAAAAGATGTTAAGGGAAATGAATAATTCAAGGGATTGGACATTAAACTGGGTCTATGAAGTATACTAAACAGGGAAAATTTAGTACATAACTTTCATCTAAAAGAACGACATTGAGGGCCTTGCTGCTCGTGCTCCAACTGTTGTGGACCTCTCTGATTGGGCCAACATCAACGACAATTCCAAAAACTCCTACATGCATTAATAATTTTTTATAAGAAATCCTAGTTTATCAAAAAATAAAATGTCATGCATTAAGAAATGATTGGACAATAATGCATCAACCACAGCTACATTTATAAAGGTTTGTGTGAAGTAAAAGGAGAAATATTGCAGTCTTAATTCTGAAGTGAAATGTGAAATAATGGTGTGTAATTCTATTATACATTATAAAGAAATAGAAGATATTTTATAAAAGATCAATGGAAAAAATAAATTCCGAATTGAGATGAATCTCTGTTTTTCTTTCTTCATATCATGATTTTGAGGTGCAGTTGAAGCTTCTTTGTATCCGTAATGGCATGGAAAATGGATTTACCAATTCTTTTGCCCAGGAGTTTTGAATAATTTCATTGGACAAGGTTATTAAAAGTGGTAATGAAGATAATGGTGGTGAAGTCAAAAGAAGGGAGATAATTGTGAGAAGGCACTTGTTGTTACTGTGATATGAGCTGAAGACTTTGTGCCTCCGGACCTTACGGGAAATAAATGTTTCTGCGGTAGGATAACTGAATATACAAGTACAGAAGTGGTCATTAAATAAGTGTTTCTATCATGGCATTTTATATTATACTAAGCAGTAAGAATGCGACAAATCTCGTAAGTGGGTTTCGTATTTTTATTTACCAGAACACATAATATGGGGAAAATGATATTTTGGGGGTATTGCAACTTGATCAAGGGAAAGGGACTTTCGACAGGAGATTTGAAATTGTGTTTTTACATACCTAATTCTTTGTCAGAACCTATGTGTGCATGTAATTCATGGAATGGAGTAAATTCGTAGTGAGCCTCTGCCAATGAACTGTAATCCTCTTCAATCTCTTCGATGTGTGAAGAACCGCTTAATATCCATTGTGTGGCTCCTATACTGGATTGTATTCTTTCAGATGATTGCCTGACCTTTGCCTTTGATATCGAATACGTCTTCAGTGGAATGAGAGTTGCCTGTAGCGCCCTAATATTTATATCATCGA